CGAATATGCATTTTTATCATATTATCAATAAGCGATTTAGATGTTTGACCCCTTAACCTACCTCCAAACCTACTCATTTTACAAACCTGTCGTTTGAAGCGGCAACATTTGAATTGTAAAGAGCGCGTCAGTCAGCCCCGGCTTTGCTGTTTACGGTCACTGGACTCGCTGCTCGGGATGGAGAAGATCGCTGAAAAAAGGCTTGGATTTGGGTCTGTTCCTCGCAGTCATATGGATTCGGAAGATTTGGATTACAGTGCACTGTAACAAAGAGGCAGTGGCGTTAGGATCCATGTGCAGCTTTATTAGTTCACAAGGCAGTGTTCGTGATCAGGGTCGAGGCAGGCGGCAGACAGACAATAGCAGGAATCAACAAGGTAGGCAGGGTCAGAATAGGTAGGCAGCAAGCAATCGTAAACAGTCCAGGTAATCAACAGGTATACAACACAGGAAAACCACTCAGAAATGTCTGCAAGGCAAAACAAGACTTCGCAATGAGAGCAGGGAAGGAACAGTTTAAATAGACTGGGCAATAGGAAACACCTGTGCAGGTGATTAGTCTCTGGCATGGGGCATTGTGGGAATTGGAGTCCGAAGGGATCGCTCAGTACTCCGGTGATGGTTCCCTCTGGTGGTGATCAGAGAGAGCCACAGAGGCTGAATTTGTGACATGCACGAACAAAATTGTTTCATTTCGTAATTATGTTGCGTTTTTGGTGTATATGACCTGTATTGGCCTATGGCAATCAAAGTAAACATTACATGACAAGTAAAGGTTAAACGATTGCAGAAATGTTACCAGAGCACCAGGTCCCGGTGATCGCACAACTGTTCTCACGACAGGGCCAGGATAAGCCAGTCATCGATATAGTTGAGGATCCTAATGCCCTTCTCCCATAATGGGGCAAGGGCACCCTTCGCGACCTTTGTAAAGACGCGGGGGGACATGGAAAGCCCAAAGGGGAGGACCTTGTACTGCCATGCCTGACCCTCGAATGCAAACCGTAGGAACGACCGTTTGATTTTCAGTTGAAAATCACTCCCCACCCCCACCCTTACGAGTAACCGAATAATGCTGCAAATCTTTTTTTTTTTGCATTTTTTTAGCACCAGCTGCCACTGATCCAGGATTGGCCGAAGGCCACCACCTTTCTTGAGCACGATAAAGTAAGGGCTGTAAAACCCCTACTTCATTCTGGCTGGAGGGACCGAATGCCACGCCGGGACCGCTGGGACACGGGACAGTCGTTGCGGGAGGAGTAAGAGGTCTGTGGGGGCTGGCACGGCAGAGAAGCTCTTACTGTGATCCTCAGATCACCCAGAGCACTAGCCGGCCATCCTCTCCCGGCAGAGAAACCTGGACGGGTAGTGGCAGAGTGTGCCCCTTCCAGCCCCTGGAGGAGGGAGAGGCGAGATCACAGTGCTGCCATAGTCATGCCACAGAAGCGGCATTTACTATCCACGAAAGCCACTTCAGCATCAACACTGAAGACAACGATTGTGTCCGTCGAGAGAGGACAGGTAACGACCGCAACCAAGAGGTCACGGATGGAATGGCATCTTTAAAAATACATAAGCCGTCCGTGATTTGCTCTTTTAGAGAAACTGCTCTTTTAAGTTGAAGCGCCCAGGGGAATCGCGGATGACAGGGAAACCGCTGTTTGCGCCATACCACGAACAGCTTCTTCCAGCCAGAGAAAGAAAGGCTTTTTGGAGAACAATCATTCACCCACTCGGCTCCGAATCAAAAATCTGAATGAGTGGATGCACCTGTTGCCTCATATACCCGTATGCACGGGGAGTGGCTCAGTATACAAGATCCACTAGCCAAATTTCATTGCCGTTTTCTCTTAAAGTTAGAGAGGATTGGGGCTCTCAAGTAAATCCCCTAATGTAATCACGATATAACTCGTAGTGAAAAACAGAGAGGGAACTAAAACTGCCATAAGGAAGAATAATGCCATTAGGATGGTTTAATGAATAATTAATTAATTAATTAATTGATTAGATTAGATTAGATTAATTTAAACATCTGATTCATTCAGGAATTAAGTAAATTGCTCTCTTTATGAATAGGCCATTGAATCATTGGTTCACCCGATCCGCTTAAAACACAGATTCATTCAGAAATTCTGCTGTTCTGCTGTGGCTCTATAAGTAATATTTGCATTAGCAAAAAAAGACAATATTGTGTTGAAAATATAACATAATATAAAGTTCTTATTTACAGAACTGTATTATAAAATCACATTTGCACTCATGCTGTTCGGGAAAAAAACAACACTCATGTGATATTGTTCTTGCTGCTTGTGTGATTTTGCTTATCATATTATATAAGTATGAGACAAAAACTGGTAACACTTTACAATAAGTTTCATTAGTTAACTGCATTAGTTAACATAAACTAAGAATGAACAATACTTCTACAGAATTTATTAATCTTAGTTAATGTTAATTTCAGCATTCACTAATGCATTATTAAAATCAAAAGTTGTGCTTGTTAATATTAGTTAATGCACTGTAAATTAACATGAACTAACAATGAACGACTGCATATTCCTTAACTAACATTAACTAATGGAACCTTAGAGTGTTACCCCAAAACATATACAGCTGCATTTTTTGTATAATGACCAGGGGGCTGTTTCATAAAAGACGCTAAGATAAGCGGGGATTAAAGTCCAAAACCTGACTTGAAATAACATAACAAATCAATCGGGACTAAAGCGGTTTCATAAACGACAATTTAAGTTCACACAATCTCACTAATTTGATCCAGGTTCAGTGAGTCAAGATAATGCCAGCCCTTAATGTCGATCATGGATCAAATTGATCCACCATGGCAAACAGCACAAACAATATATTTGTGTTGTTTAATGCATTTGAGACGTTGTGTTTTCCCCAGTGCATAACGGACATGTCACAGTTATATTCTTCATCTGTAAATGTTAGAAAGTCATGCAAATAAATCCATTTTGCTATCAGGAGTGGGCGAGTGAACGAGCGCTGCTGCGTGCATGCTCGCTAAAAACAGAAGGAATGCAATAGAATAATAGCACAATAAATTTGAGTAAAATATACATTTTGCTAAAATATTTATTGTTGAACATTAAATGTGACACATGTAGAATTGTAATCCTTCATATAAGTGTATTTTTATGACAGCAGTAACTGTAAATCAATTGTAAGCTGGCTAACACAGCCCTAATTACTAGCTCAAATGAGTCAATGTGAATTCCTCTTACCAGTTAAAATGTAGTCTGTTTTCTATTATTTATTGTCATTTTTAATTCAAGTGATTTTAACTTTTAATTTAGTGTTTTCAATGCTTTAATGCTTAAAAGAGCAATTTTAAATTGTAATGTTTTAATGGCTTACTAATAACCATAAAGGTACAGCTGTCAAATACTTGAGAGAAAGGCTGCATGGCTAGAAACTGCTGATCAACTGAATGGGCAACTATGTTAAAATGTTTTCATATATCATAAAAAAAAAAAAAAAAAGTCATTAAATTTTGGGCACAATACATTAAATACTGTCGGTTATAGCCTATATTTTTATTTATTTATTTTAGTTGCATTTTCTGTATACGTTTATTTTTGGACTGATAATAAAGTCAAATAATTGTATGTGAGAGAATCAGTGGTAATATCAATGCGTTCCTATTAGTCAGTGTTATAGGAACTTAGCTTAGCCTGACAGTTAGTCTGCTCTCCCCCCAGAGCACTAGCCGGCCATCCTCTCCCGGCAGAGAAACCTGGACGGGTAGTGGCAGAGTGTGCCCCTTCCAGCCCCTGGAGGAGGGAGAGGCGAGATCACAGTGCTGCCATAGTCATGCCACAGAAGCGGCATTTACTATCCACGAAAGCCACTTCAGCATCAACACTGAAGACAACGATTGTGTCCGTCGAGAGAGGACAGGTAACGACCGCAACCAAGAGGTCACGGATGGAATGGCATCTTTAAAAATACATAAGCCGTCCGTGATTTGCTCTTTTAGAGAAACTGCTCTTTTAAGTTGAAGCGCCCAGGGGAATCGCGGATGACAGGGAAACCGCTGTTTGCGCCATACCACGAACAGCTTCTTCCAGCCAGAGAAAGAAAGGCTTTTTGGAGAACAATCATTCACCCACTCGGCTCCGAATCAAAAATCTGAATGAGTGGATGCACCTGTTGCCTCATATACCCGTATGCACGGGGAGTGGCTCAGTATACAAGATCCACTAGCCAAATTTCATTGCCGTTTTCTCTTAAAGTTAGAGAGGATTGGGGCTCTCAAGTAAATCCCCTAATGTAATCACGATATAACTCGTAGTGAAAAACAGAGAGGGAACTAAAACTGCCATAAGGAAGAATAATGCCATTAGGATGGTTTAATGAATAATTAATTAATTAATTAATTGATTAGATTAGATTAGATTAATTTAAACATCTGATTCATTCAGGAATTAAGTAAATTGCTCTCTTTATGAATAGGCCATTGAATCATTGGTTCACCCGATCCGCTTAAAACACAGATTCATTCAGAAATTCTGCTGTTCTGCTGTGGCTCTATAAGTAATATTTGCATTAGCAAAAATTGTGTTGATTGTGTTGAAAATATAACATAATATAAAGTTCTTATTTACAGAACTGTATTATAAAATCATCATGCTGTTCATGCTGTTCGGGAAAAAAACAGCACTCATGTGATATTGTTCTTGCTGCTTGTGTGATTTTGCTTATCATATTATATAAGTATGAGACAAAAACTGGTAACACTTTACAATAAGTTTCATTAGTTAACTGCATTAGTTAACATAAACTAAGAACTTAGTTAATGTTAATTTCAACATTTACTAATGCATTATTAAAATCAAAAGTTTTGCTTGTTAACATTGGTTAATGCACCGTAAATTAACATGAACTAACAATGAACGACTGCATATTCCTTAACTAACATTAACTAATGGAACCAGAGTGTTACCCCAAAACATATACAGCTGCATTTTTTGTATAATGACCAGGGGACTGTTTCATAAAAGACGCTAAGATAAGCGGGGATTAAAGTCCAAAACCTGACTTGAAATAACATAACAAATCAATCGGGACTAAAGCGGTTTCATAAACGACAATTTAAGTTCACACAATCTAAAGAATGGGAGGAGGAAAAGAAACGACAGATGAGAGAACGAGTAGAAGAAGAAAGAAAGAGAAAAGAGAAACATGAGGAACAACTGAGAGAAAAACAAGAAGAACAGGAGAAAATGAGAAAAAGATTTGAAAGAGAGAGAGAAGAAGAACAACAGAAAATAGAGGAGGAAAAACAGAAACAGAGAAGAGAAAGAGAAGAAAAAGAGAGAGAATACGAGGAAAAGAAAACTGAAATGAAAAGCCATTATGAAAGTCTGGAACGAGACAGAAAAGACGAGTGGGAGAGAAGAAAACGAGAGGATGACAAGAGACGAGAAGAAGAGAAAAAGACATGGAAGAAAAAGATTGAAGATCTGAAACAAGAGCAAGAAGAAGAGATCAAGAGAAGAGAAACAGAGGAGAAGGAGAGAAAAGAAAGAGAAAAGAAAGAGAGGGATGAAATGAAACAGAAACATGAAGAGGAGATAAAAGAGATGAAAATGAAACATCAAGATGAAGCAAGAAAACAAGCAGAAGAATTTAATGATTTCAAAGAGAGAAAAGAGCAGCACACTCAGGAGTTAAAAGAGATGCTGGATGGACGTCAGAAACAATATGAATTACTGGAAAAACTCTGTCAACACCTGAAAGACCAGAAAGAAGAAGAAATAAAAGAGCTGCAAGACCAGAAAGATAAAGAAAGAAAAGAGCTACAAGACCAGAAAGACAAAGAAAGAGAAGTGCTACAAGACAAGGAAGATAAAGAAAGAAAAGAGCTACAAGACAAGAAAGATAGAGAAATAAAAGAGCTACAAGCAAAGAAAGAAAAAGAAAGAAAAGAACTGCTACAAGAAATTGAAGAACTGAAGAAGATAAATCATTGTGTTATTCTGTGATGGTTTGTCAGATTTGTTTTCAGTCTGAGGAGGAGCCAGATGTTTTCTCATTGTCAGGATCTAATTTGAGTTTTTCAGTAGCAGACAGTATAGTGTCCCCGTCACTACACTGGGGCATTAGGACCCGCACAGACCACAGTTTGAGCACCGAATACATATATGTTGAATACACCTAATGCCGTCTGCTGGACTAAGTGCGCTCATTGTTGCATGTACACATGATTTTATTTTTACCACCTGAGAGCTCATCAAAGGTACTTTACCTCTTTGTTGCTGTGAACTAGAAGCGAGTGACTGTGTGACAGACTGAAAGCTGACTTAACATGTGTGACAGACTAGTGAAGCTGTCTTAATGCGTCTGTCCAGCAGAACTGAAAGCTGACTCCACGTGTGTTTAAGCAACATAACTGAAGCTGACTTAACGTTTGTCTGTGTGACAGACTAGCGCATTTCTGTGCGACAGAACTGAAATCTGACTTGACATGTTCTGTGCGACAGAACCTAAACGCTGATTTAGCGCATTTTCTGTTCAACGAAACTGAAAGCTGATTTGACGCGTGACAGAACTCAAGCTGTTTTGTCACGTTTCTGTGTGACAGAACTGAAGCTGACTAAGCACATGTCTGTGTGACAGACTTGGCAAGTCTGGTTACGGATGAAGTTATATATAAAATATGCGCAGGTGCACTTAGGGCGTGTCCGGATCCACTTTTCCTAGTTTAACGATGGGAAAATTGGTTGGTGTGCCCGGCTCATGGTCCAAAAGGGATGTCCCTATTCTCTTAATGAGTCATGGGTGTGTTTTAAGCATAATGTGCATTAAACCAATCAGAGTCGCATTTCTCATTCCCTTTAAGTGCCAGTTGCGCTCGTGCCTCATTTTCGAAAGCGAAAGTGAAACCGAAATAACAACGCGCATAAGAAAGCGATTGACCATCCATTATGACATAGGCATTTTTCACATTTATGTACACAATAATAATCTTTTACATTGTAATCCTTTCATTTTTAATATTTCGCATGTCTGTGTGCTGCTGCTGTGTGTGTAATAAGCAGAGTGTATGTGTATTGTGCACCTGCCTATAGTTACTATATTACTAACGCACTCTTTAAATAAAAAAATAAATATTGCGACATTGACTTAGTGTTTAGTCTGTTTCATTTTCAATGCTTTACATATTAGTTTTCTTGCTATTGCAATACTTTCTATTCTTGTTTAATCTTATGATTGTGGGGTTTCATGATATTTTGTTCATATGTAAGAGATAACAGGGATTTTAAGGTTTTATGGGATGTTGATGTGATGCTTCTTAGTTTAAGTCAGACGCATTGAAACTGACATATCTAAAATTATTCAACAAATGCTTTTTGATTTTTCACTTTATTTCCTGCGTTCTTTTCTTTCACAGCTTCCTCTGTCCTCTTGGCAGACGGAAGTTTTGGAAATTAGACAAAATACATTGTTAACTGATTTTAAATACAAGGTGAAACTGATCTCTTCTGATGGCATCTGATAAAAAAATTTTATTCAATAGGATCCTGAAGCTGTATTTGGTTTTGCTTTCTATTTTGTATGTCTCTGTTTCAGCATGGAATTCAGAACAGAATCAAATTACTTAATAAACCAGTAATTGAAGTATGATTATTTAGTCAAGTCACCTTTATTTTTTATACAATAGAAATGGTCAAAGCAGCTTCACAGCAATAAAGAGGGAGCTAACATAATAAATAATGCAATTTTCAAATATGAAACAGATTCAGATCAGTTCAGTTCAGTATTGATTCAGTTTCAACAGCCACGCAAATTTCATTCATTATAAAAAAATGTTCAATTTCTTCATGTCTTCGGGCAGCGTTCCACTTCCAGCTGGTTAGATTTTTTTACATTTACATTATGTAGTCATTTAGCAGACGCTTTTATACAAAGCAACTTACAAATGAAGACAATGGAAGCAATCAAAATCAACAAAGAGCAATGATATACATGTGCTATAACAGGTCTCAGTTAGCTTAAAGCAGTTCATGTAGCAAGGTTTGCTATGGCGGAAAGTAAAATGGTCGCCATGGCAACCACAAGGTACATTTACATTTAGACATTTAGCAGACGGTTTTATCCAAAGCGACTTACAAATGACAATGGAAGCAATCAAAATCAACAAAGAGCAATGATATACATGTGCTATAACAGGTGTTAGTTAGCTTAAAGCAGTACATGTAGCAAGGTTTTTTTAATATAATAAATAAAAAGAAAACAGATAGAGTAGAAAAAGAATAGAGCAAGCTAGTGTTAGAGGCCTTTTTTGCTTTTGTTAATTGTATAATGAATAAAAAGAAAACAGATAGATTAGAATACAAAAAGATTAGAAAAGCTACTGTTAGGTTTTTTTTTAAGAAAACAAGCAGTAAATGAATAGAGTGCAAGTCTAAAGGGGACAAGTTTTTTTTAAAGAATAGAATTAGAATAGAGAGTGCTAGAGTTAGAGGGTCAAATAAAGATGGAAGAGATGTGTTAGATGATTCTTGAAGATGGCTAAGGACTCAGCTGCTCGAATTGAGTTGGGCAGGTCATTCCACCAGGAGGGAACATTTAATTTAAAAGTCAGTGAAAGTGATTTTGTGCCTCTTTGGGATGGCACAATAAAGCGACATTCACTTGCAGAACGCAAGCTTCTAGAGGGCACATAAGTCTGAAGTAATGAATTTAAGTAAAGGGGTGCAGAGCCAGGGGTGGTTTTGTAGGCAAACATGAATGCCTTGAATTTTATGCAAGCAGCTATTGGTAGCCGGTGCAAACTGATAAACAGAGGTGTGACATGCGTTCTTTTTGGCTCATTGAAAATTAATATTGCTGCCGCGTTCTGGATTAATTGTAAAGGTTTGATAGATCTGGCTGGAAGATCTGCCAAGAGAGCATTGTAATAGTCCAGCCTGGACAGAACAAGAGCTTGCACAAGGAGTTGTGAAGCATGTTCCGAAAGAAAGGGCCTGATCTTCTTGATGTTGAATAGGGGCAAAGGGGCAGAAGGGGTGGTACGGGCTGGCCTGGAAGACAAGGGGCAGACAGTGTCTAAACAAGATGTAAGAGTGGAGCAGAAAGTATCAGTAGCACTGTTAACATCAAGAGATGATAACTGTTCAGGGGAAGGAAGCAAAGATGAAACCATAGCAGATAGCCGGGAGGGTGAGAGTGAGCGTAGGTTACGTCGAAAGATGACATGTGGAGGGGTATGTGTTGTGTCAGGAACCATGTTGAGGTTAAGAGTGAGGAGGAAGTGATCCAAGGTGTGCAGTGGAGTAACGAGCACATGATCAGTGGAGCAGTGTCGTGTGTAAATAAGGTCCAGTTGGTTGCCTGATTTGTGAGTAGCCGTAGTTGACACTCGGTTGAGATCAAAAGAGGCATTTATAATTTTTTTTTGTTTATGAAAGCAACTTCTATTTTTATCCATTTAATAGCATACGAAAGTAAACCGAGTTCCGCACATGAAAGCAGTAAAATGTATTTTTTGTCTATAGTTAGCTGCACTTTTGTGATTGACCATGATACCTGCAGACTGCAGCAAATGGAAGTCCTTTTCTGTCGGTTTTTGATACTGGCCTTAAAATTGACAAACATATTAACTCAGTAGTGAGTGACTGTGATGTGTGTGTACTTGTAGTGTGGCTTGATTGGTGACAGCAGGTGCGGGTGATCAGAACTCAGGTGACTGTGATCTGGTGATTGTCCTGGATGGTGACTGAAGTGACTGTGATGAATCCCTGACATTACCCCCTCCTCCAGGGGCGGCTCCTGACACCCTCAAGCGGCGACGGGGGCGGCCACGGCTTCTAGGTGCGGGGCGACCAGGATGGGTGTGATGGAAATCCTCTAGTAGCAAAGGGTCCAGAATGTCGTCCCTGGCCACCCAGGAACGTTCCTCCGGTCCATAACCATCCCAGTCGACCAAGTATTCCAGCCGACCACCCCGTCGCCGTGAGTCCAGGATGTCTTGGACCAGGTAGATGGATGGTTGGTCAAGGATTTCGGGAGGAGGAGGTTCGTCAGTTTCGGTGGGTCCTGGAGCAGAGGGAGAGTGAGGTTTAAGGAGGGAAACATGGAAAGTGGGGTGAATTCGGTACCTGGGTGGGAGTTGGAGTTCGTAAGTGACTTCGTTGATCTGCCTCTGTATTGGGAACGGACCAATGTAGCGGGGACTCAGCTTCTTACAGGGCAGGCGGAGGCACAGATCCCGGGTGGACAGCCATACTTTCTCCCCTGGATGGTAAGTGGGAGTGGAAGTACGCCGAGCATCTGCGAAGGCCTTATGCCTCCGCACTGCACGTGGGAGATGGAGGTGAGCCGAGTCCCACACTCTCTTGCTCACTCGGAAGCAGTGGTCTACAGCTGGAACCTCCGACGGTTCTCCTGTCCACGGGAAGAGCGGGGGCTGGTAACCAAGTATGCACTGAAACGGCGTGAGGCTGGTGGTGGTCTGTGTCAGGGAATTTTGTGCATACTCGGCCCAAGGGAGGAAACGGCTCCAGCTGTGTTCGTCGTTGTGACAGTATGCCCGGAGGTAACGTCCGAGTTCCTGGATCTTCCGCTCAGTCTGGCCGTTTGTCTGGGGATGGTAGCCTGAGGATAAGTTGACCGTGACCCCTAGTAGCCGGAAGAATGCCCTCCAAACGCGGGAGATAAACTGAGGTCCCCTGTCGGAGACTACATCCTCGGGGACTCCAAAGTTTCTGAAGACATGTGTGAACAAACTTTCTGCAGTGTCGAGAGCGGTTGGAAGTCCTTTGAGGGGGATTAGCTTACAGGCTTTGGAAAAACGATCTACGACTACCAAGATGCAGGTATACCCGTCTGAGTTGGGTAAGTCAGTCACAAAATCGATTCCCAGGTGAGACCAAGGTCGATGTGGGATCGGCAGGGGCACTAGTTCGCCTACGGGGAGGTGACGAGGGGTCTTGGACATGGCGCAGACTGAGCAACTGCGGACGTACCTGATGACATCCCG